AAAAGGACAAAGAGCACCTGCAGAATTAACAAAAGTGGTTTATTCAGATCGTACAAGAGAGTCTGCTGCCATCACCGTCTTTCTAGTAGAAACTCAGAGGACTTTGAAAGGAAAGTGGGTTTTAGAATAAAAGGCGGAAATCTTAAGACAGTCTTTGATTGATGCATGTTCTATTCAGGTAGAATTTTCAGAAGTGGGGGAGCTTTCTGATTGGCTTTCAGGTGCATCTGGCAGTCTCTGATGGGTCCACTAGCTACTGGTTCATTCTGGGGCTTCTCAGGCTGAGAAAGTCACATGGGTTTTCCTGTTTCAACCTGAAGAATAGCTGGTCCTCCACTTCGAGATCTGAGTCTCGCATAAACAATTCCTTGGTAGAGTACTGGATGTGGTCATTCTAAAGCTATTTTGTGTGCTTGTAGGATAGAGCTAATGATAAATAGATAGATTTTGGGGAACTCAAATTCTCACTGGTGGAAAAGAGAGATAGAAACCTAGTGTGGCAGAGACTGAAGAAGAATCCTGCAGTCTGCAATTTGATCTGAGGCTACCTCATGATTTCCTTAAAAAGGAATGAAGGTGGCTTGGTGTCTCCAAGCAACTTTCTGAAGATGGTAGCCAGTGCCCCAAATTTAGTAAATAATAAACGCATTTGTGTGGAAGACAAGGTGAGAGCGGACAGGCTTAGAAGGAGAGCTGGTAGAAAGAAATGGTAGGTAACTGGGGTCCGACAGGTGGAGGACAGGTGGTGGTTGGGGGCAGAGTTACAACACTCAGTGGCAGCATCTTTGGCCACCATGCTTCGTCTCACTCCATTTTATTTTGTAAAATATACATGTAAGGCACTTACAGGAGTTAAAAAGATTATAATTGACACATGGTCTCTCTTTTCAAAAAAAGAAATAATAGCATGCTGGTTGAAAGAATAGGCTCTGGAGCAGCGGTTCTCAACCTTCCTAATGCCGCGACCCTTTAATACAGTTCCTCATGTTGTGGTGACCCCCCAACCATAAAATTACTTTCGTTGTTACTCTATCACTGTAATTTTGCTACTGTTATGAATCGTCATGTAAATATCTTTTTGTTTTCCGATGGTCTTAGGCGACCCCTGTGAAAGGGTCGTTCGACCCCCAAAGAGGTCGCGACCCACAGGTTGAGAACCGCTGCTCTGGAGCCTGATTTCCTGAACTAGAACCCTGGTTCCACTCCTACTGGTGTTAGACTGCTGGGGCCGCCATAAAATACCACAGGCTGGGTGGCTTAACCAAGGGAAATTTATTTTCTCACAGTTTTGGAGGCTGGGAGTCCAAAGTCAAGGTGTCATCAGGATTGGTGTCTGGTGGGGCCTTGCTTCCTGGCTTGTAGACAGCCGCCTTCTCGCTGTGTCCTCACATGGCCTCTTCTCTGTGTGAACACAGAAAGACAATGTCTCCTCCTCTTATAAGAACACCAGTCCTACTGGATCAGGGCTCTATGCCATGACCTCGTTTAATTTTAATCACCTCCCTAAAGTTCCTATTTCCAAATCCAGTCACATTAGGGGGTTAGGACTGCAACATATGGATTTTGAAGGCACACAATGTGGCCCACAACACTGTGGAACCCAGGAAAGTTACTTAACCTCTCTGTGCCTTACTTTGCTCATCTGTAAAATAGGTATCATAATAGCATCCACCTCAGAGGGCTGTTGTAAGGATTCGATGACTGATGCACATAAAGCATCCAGCACCTGGCATATAAAAAACACCCAAGAGACTATACTTACAATATTACTCCATTCAATACTGAATTTGTGACTTTATCAACTACTACGGTGAGAGTACAATTAGAAGTATATATGTAGAATGCCTTCTTTTAGACATTTAAAAAATACACCTTTCTATTTGTTTTTGCAAAGTTAGAGGTGAACCCCACTGGCCCTCCAATATTTGGGTAACAGAGCAATCACATCTTTGTACTGAAGGGATTTTAACTGGAGCATAAGGCTCGTTGTTCCTTAAATGATCAGCAGTTGCTGAATTAAAACCACTGTTACATTATGGCCGAGATTCCACTGTACTGCTCCCTTCTTTCTGACGCTGGGCTCGGTAAATCACCCACGTTGTTCTCCCACATGAGGACTTTAAACGTAAGAGCGCAACACCTTATGACGGCGCTAATTCAGCGCAGCTTTTATTAAGAATGAGAACAAGGAGTAGAGGACAATATCACAGCGTGTAGCCTGGCATTTGAAATAAAAAGGCAAAGCATGTACAGTCAAGTCTTTGTTTCTGAATAGTGGCAATACAGGTTAATTTTACAGTATTCAAAAGTGGTGAGGGTGGTCTGTCTCCAGTTTACTATATTGGAGCCACAGTCTCAGAAATTCGGATAGATTATTTATCTCCCGAGGGAACCCTTCTGGCTTTTTCCAGAGGGCTCTCTCCTGAGGATGGCTTTCAGCATATTGGTATTCCACACAAAACGTCTGCCGTCATCATCTGTTGCTGGGAATCTAAAAATAGGGCTTTGCTTGTGAAATACCATCTTGCAGGGCCTGACCCCGTGTTCGACCAGTGCCTGTTAAGGGTTCCTTCGCTGTGCCTCTCTTTGGTTTCATGGCTTCTAGATGGAGCGGGCTTTGCACCCTCCACCGGTAACAGGCACCCCCACCCTCTTCACTCTTTATTTCTTACATGGTCTTGCTCTCGGAATAAAATGGCCACCAAATGGCTACTCACTTCACTGCAGGTTAAACTCTTCACAGATGAATGAGAGATTCAAACAGAGAAGCAGTCAGTGAAAAAAATGTGAAATGAAATAGTTTTTCACACACACACACACACACACACACACACACCTTTGGGCTTTGGGGTAATAGACTAGACAGCACTGCTATGGAAACCACGCAGCCTCCCCGAACGTAACGTCAAGGGCTTCCCTGGACCTGAAAACACTCCTAAGGACCCCTGCCTCTCCTCATCCCACCTTCCTCAACGCTATCTCTCAATGACATCGGCACCACTCAGCATCTAGTCCCTTTTCTTCTGAGACTGAGGCCAGATTCCCCAGGGAGGTGGCGGGCAGTCTCTGCACAGTCTCTTCATCCGTAAAACCAGGGCATACCAATAGCACCTACGAGTGGGGTTGTTACAAAGATTACATGAAACAAAGAATGCAGAGGGCTTGGAAAAGCCCCTGGCCCATCGTAACTACTAAGGAACATGGTGTGAAGATTCTATTGGAAATGATATGTAAGAAGAAGAATAAAAATGGGGAATTCCATCATGCCTCCTCCACTCCCCAATTTAGTCTTGCTCACCTCTAAGCTGACTGTCAGTTGTGGAATTTTCCAGGGCTATATGGACAGAAAGCAGTCAAGGCAGCTATGTAGGCAGTATCCTACTCTACGGAGACCCAATTTCTGACTCAGCTTCAAGGAAATAAACCTGTACGAACAACCAGTTGAAACGTGGGAGGCACAATCATGTATTTCTGTTTAACTCCATTAAATGGAGTGCAGAGGCCCCCGATGCATCAAGCCTCCCTCTCTTCCCCGGCCCCCACCATATGCCCCGAAGGTCCCTGGCACCGGGTGGGACCTTAGTCACCATGAGCCCTCAGACACCAGGGGACCTAAGCAAGTGCCCTCACTTCCGGAAGTCCCAGTCAGAATAGCTGAGTCTGAGCTGCTGCAGGGGGGCTCCTGTGGGTGGCCAGGGGAGCCCTGAAGAGGGTGGCATCCAGTTTGAGAGTGAAAAGGACCAACACTGGGCTGGAGCAAGTGAGGTTGTGCTGGCTCAGGCTCTGACCGCCAAGCTGGGTCAGTCACATCAGCCCCTGGCACCCCGTTTCTCCTTCTAGCCACGAGCAGCGAGCCCAATGCTGTGTGGACATTTTGCAGCTCCGAATCCTTCTGCGTCCTCTTCCTCTCCCTACTTCACCTGCATTCCACACAAAGCAGTTGCCGGATAGATTTACTGGCAGTCCCAGGGAATGACATGCTGCCTGACCGGCTGCTATCCGGGACGAACGCACACGGGGCTGCAGGGTGACCTTCATGAGTCCTTGGTAGTTTTACCTTCACTGGCTTCTTATTACATTAAAAAGTGTTTAATTGTATTTTATTTTATAACTGTTAGTATAAAGATGAATCGATCACCATTTTTCTGCCTAAAGGCTTATTGTTTTCTTACAATTTTAAAAGAACTTAAAATTGTTCATGGGTCCCTAAGAGTACCGTGGGCCCCGGACACTGGACCTACGCAGCTGGTGGACAGTCACCCCCGAAGGAGTTGCTGAATGAATGCCTCCATGTACTGAGGAGTTTCCTAAGATAACTTTTTGACTTCAGAAAAAAAGGCACCAGCGGCATTCCCCATGTTTTATACCAAGGCTGTTGCCTAGTTTTCTAACGCGATGGACGGAGTTTCCCTTGGTCAATCATTTCACAAGTAAAAGCTACTCCTGACTCCTAGGCTGCCAGGAGCTCGTATGTTATTTTTGTGCCAACTAGGAAATGGCTTCTTGTCTTCAGGAAGAGAGGGGGGGAAAGCCTTTAAAATATCACATTATAGCACAATCTGAACAATTATCCCCACTGGCTGGGGCAAGTGAAAATTCAGGTGGGCACCCCTTTCAGCCTCATTCGGGAGGCCATGGCGGAGTCCTGCATGGTGTGGAGATGGGATGTGAACAGCAATCCGCAGCCTCCGCCTCACAGGCGTTTTAGGAGCAATTCCACAAGCCCAACTTCATTCCAAATCTGTGGCTGGAACATTCAAGTCCCAGCAGGTCTTAGGCAAAGGTAGGAGGTCAGGGTCATGACCTCAGGGCTCTCTCTCCCAAAGCAAAGAGTGGACAAGACACGGCACGTGAGTGTGTGTACACACTGCCCTGGGTGTTTGTGCATGGCCTGGCTGGCAAGGGTGTGGCCCGGTGGGCGCCAGGAGGCCCACACTGCTCCCGCGGCTTTGGGAAGCCCAGACTCACACGTACTAAAGCCTCCCTTCTTCTCTCGCCAGGGATGACGTGCCAAGCTCGCAGCTCCTACGTCACCAGTGAGATCCTCTGGGGTTACCGGTTCACTCCTGTCCTGACGCTGGAGGACGGGTTCTACGAAGTCGACTACAACAGCTTCCACGAGACCTACGAGACCAGCACTCCGTCTCTTAGCGCCAAAGAGCTGGCCGAGCTGGCCACCAGGGCAGAGCTGCCCCTGAGCTGGTCTGTGTCCAGCAAACTCAACCAACATGCAGAACTGGAGACCGAGGAGGAAGACAAGAGCGTGGAGGAGCAAACGGAAAGGAATGGTGATGTGGCAAACCTGGAGAACGAGTCTAAAGTCTAGTCCCCCAGTCGGGCCACCCCACCCCTCTCCCCACACAGCCTGTCCTTGTCTCTCATTCTCTTCTGTCTTTTATGTTGTTCTTCATTTGCATTTAATTTTGGCATTACAAAGCAAATCTTCAAAGTGTAAAATATCTGCCTGCCCTCTCTCAGTTACTCGGATTGACGAGGTAGACACGGATTTGGTTAAGGTACAACGTGCCCTCACTTGTGGCCCGAGCCTTGTCTCGCCCCTCACCCCAACCCCGCCAGTTCCCCTGCATGTACTGTACAAATACCACATCGCTCCAAAGAGGGCGTCAAAGATTTGACCTGGGATGTGACACATTAGATCTCCGGTGCCTGTCTCCATACAGTGGGGCAATAGAGGACAGCCCTCCAGTTTATATAGACACCAACACATTTCATCCCCAGGGCCAGGCGCCTGCCCCCTGCAGGTGGGCACTGCAGCTACAGGACCCGCGTGAGGCACAGACAGAACACTGTACATATATATGCCTTATGTAATTATTTTCTTTTGCAGTTAGTAATAAAACTCAGCATGTACAAAGTACTGCAGAACACAACTTCTACATAATGTACATACGTGTATAATTAGTTTAGGTTTAGATATATAACTTTAGAAATAAGATGAAAAAAAAAAGTCTCCCGAGTACAGTAGGCATTTCTGTACTGATGTCTTGGTTTCCCGAATTTCTTTGGTCCCACTGACTACTGCCCTTTAGTGCATGGCCTCTGTTCACTGTCCCAGACTGGCAGCCAGTTTGGTACCTCACTGTTCCCTCGCTGATCCTTTCATTGAATCTAATAAGCCATAGGTCTGGGGGAAGTTGGGAGGTCCAGTAGATGGTAAAACCCACCACCAATACACTGATATACTGTGAAATGTTTACAAACTGAGGTCTCCTTTAAGATAACAACAGCCTCACTGACTAGCCTGGCGGAGAAATCCAAGAAAAAGACATTCTCTGGCATGTCACCAATGATGTGTGTGTGCTTTGCACACGAGCTTTCACCCTTTATACTATTATACAATAGTTTTGGAAACTCTTTCACAAAACCATTGATTCTCCAGCTGTTCCACTCTGTAATCAAGAGACACTGTACACAATTAAGACATGAGACATGGAAAGTGAGCTGAAGATGGTTTAGGTCTCAAGCCAGGAAATTCATGAAGGTTTATAGTGGGCACTTAGGTTGTAATCATTGACCGCCCACAGTTTGACTTTATCTGGCATCCTTCCTGTCCCCAGGGCTTACCCATCAGCATTTTTTTTTATTGTTATCCTTAGTCTTACTTTTTTACTATGATGAAATGACCAGAGTTCAACATTTGTAGATTAGATCAACAATCTTGGTGACTGTCTAAGAAATCTCCCTACAGCGTGCCACAGGTTAGAAATCAAATCCAAAGTGTCTCTCAATCAAAACAAACAAACAAAAAAATGCAGCCTTAATTCATTTTAATCTGCAAAGATAAATGTAAAGAGAGGGAGAGAGAGAAGAGAAGAGAAAAAAAGAAGGAAAGAAGGGAGGGAAGGACGGCAGAAGGAAGGGAGGGAAGTATTTTTTACTGAAAGTCTAAATTTCAAAATAAAAAAAATTTTCAAATAAAAAAAAAAAAGAAAGAAAGAGAACCTTAGACAAAACCTCAGGGCAGGTGGAGATTTTGCACTGTAACAGATCTTTCACCTTAATTTTGCAATTGTAAACTGTTTGTTCCCCAACACAGTCGCCCATCCTAAATATCCATTGACTGGACTCAAGTTCACTCTCAGCTCCTACAGCTGTGCTCAGTTTGAGGCTTTGCACCACAGAGGTCGAAGAGCTCAAACTAGCTGTCCCTTCCTGTTGCCCTTGCTTTCCCTGACCAGAACAGGCCTTCGCTGTGGTTTAGGGACCTTGTCTACTAAAAAGCGTGTCCCAGAGATAAGGAAAGTAGCCCTCGGTTTCACAGGGGGAGGGGTCTCTCTTCTCCCACTCCTGAGACTTTACACCAGGATAACTGCTCCTGGGCACTGACTTGTGGAACCCAGAACTGGTGACCATAGCCCTTTCGTGTTTGCCACCTTTCTACATTGAATATGTTGAATCATTTATTCATTCCACACACTCTAAGGAGGAGGTTGGAGTTGAGGAGGAGACAGCCCCATACACTTCCTGCCGGGCTGTGGGGAGGTACTGTGGCCTTATCTCGATGTAGCCTTATAAAGGGCGCTCTTGACTCCATGGGCGCTAACCAAGCAGCATCACCCCAAGTTGCAGGGCGTGGCATGGCAGCACAAAGCAGGATCGAGCAGGGGCTGCAAAAAGTCTGCTAATTTAGCTCTTGAAGACTCATGGGGCCTTTTTAAATCCGTTACTAAGGCTTAAAGGGCATCACACACCCTGTTGTCTGGTTGGAAGAGCAGCTTGGGGCCCTTTAGCACAACCAAACAAAGAGCCTCGACAACCCTTGGGTCACACACACGTGAGTTCTGTACGTGTGACAGGGCGCCGGGTGTGAGGCCAGTCCCCATGTCCCACTGTCTTTGGTGTCAGTGTAGTTGGAGACAGAACATGAACCAAATCTCATTTTTGTAACGTGAGCCTCTGGACCTTGAAAAGAGGTTGCTCCAGAAGAACCTTTTCCTAGAACGCCCCTTTCAAACATGTCTATTTTTCTACAATCATGGATAACGCAGTTTAACAGTGCATTTTGTGTCAACTGTTCAAATTTGGAACTGAAAGAAGCTCATCATTAAGACTGACTTTTCTAAGCAGCAAGTACTAAACGGTGTTTTTCAAAGACAACCCCCCGATTTCCGGTCCCCATACTCCACATGCAGCGCCCATTCACTTGGTCACTCTGTTAGCAAATCAAGTGCTGTGAAGAGAAGTCAGCCGATTTTTAATGCAACAGAACTCATAATGAATGAGGATCACTCTCAATTTGGTATTTTGCTCTGCTGGGTTGGTGTACTTGAGTGTCTTCCCCATCGGAGCTTAGTGGGATCCATGAGCCAGACAAGCACTGGGAACTAGAGGGTGAGAGCTGCTACAGGTGACCCCAATCTGGAGAAAAGGGCAGATGTAGCTGGAAGCTAGACCCCAAGGGCTGCTGGGACTCTCAGCTTCCCACTTCCACCCACCCCAACATGCTTTCCAACTGGCCGAGGACCTACCTATTCATTTACAGTCTTTACGTAACTGATTCAATTGTTCCTGTTTTTGGCTGTCCCCTGGGCAATTAACATATTTGCAGTAATGTCAGGTCCTTGCTTTTCCAGCCCTTGGAAACTTGGCGTTCGAGCTGGGCTGGTCCAGCTTATAGCCACTCTGGTGCATGAGAAGGGACTCCTTGCCCCATTCCCTTCCTCCACCCATCCCTCTCTTTCACTCTTTCCTTAGACCTCCTGCTGCAGATCCATGAGGTAGTTCAGTATCTTACGCTCCCTAACAGAAATCCAGCCCCTGTCTCTAAAAATGTCAACCTGTTTTAAGCACAATTTTCTCTCCCAGGTTTAACAAAACTAGGGCTCTAAGATGTCTATTTTTCATTATAGTCTAAGTAAAAAATTACTGATGACGTAATTTAAAAGCCTAAATTTTGACATCTCCAAAGCAACACCCGTGTGTTTCCCCTCCCTATATTTTCTTACATTTCAGGTTTCTTGCTTTGTTTCCCCTTTGTTTTTTTTATTTAGACTTAAGCAGATATCTGGGGGATGTTCATCAACTGTTTATAAAGGTGGAAGCAGAGAAAGAAGCTCTAAAAAATGCTGTTAGAAAACTACTTGGACTCACCAAAAGAATGTGAAATCACTTAATTAGCTGAGTGACTCAAGGTTTTAAAAAATTAAAATATTCATAGTCATTTCCAAGACAGCTTGCCAATAGTGTGATTAGTTTTCAGTTGACTTGGGTGATACTTTGTGTAATTCAGAAGAGTCAAAAGGGTAGCTGAAAATTAAACGTCCCGCATAAATGGTAAACATTAATTATCTTCTATGATTTCCTTTCAATGGATGGCTATAAAGTCAAAAAACACAAGTGATGAATACATAATAGATGACGCATTGATACTGCATTACAATATACAACAGTTAAATAATATTATCATGTTTCTAGACTTTATAGCCGACCTATATTTAAGAAAATGTTACACTTTAATTTAAAATGGAGTAAAACACGCCTCTTCCTAATATTTCTGCCCTAACATCTTGGAGAGCTGCTGATCCAGAGTGTCATCTGGAAGTCAAAACTCTGTCAGGTTATTATGAGATTTTGACAAAGCACAGTCCATACAATAATAACAAAACGATGCTATGCCTACTGTGTGGTGTTGGGAGCACTCAGAGAACTTGCAGAAATTATTGCATTGAATTTTCATCCATCATGAGAGCTTGAGTATTACCATTTACATTTTATAAATGGAAAACTAGGTTTTGAGCAAATTGGGTAACCTCCTCACAGGAACAAGGCCAGAAAATCACACAGCCTGTCTCGAGTCTCCGGCTTCAGCCATGGGATGTTTTTACTACAAAAAGTGCTGACGAACCAAACCTGCTCACAGAATCTGGCCCACTGCCTGTTTTTGGCCCCCACGCCCCTTGCAAGCTCAGAATGATGTTACATTTTTAAATGGTTCGGGGGGGGAGGGGAAGACCATTTTGTGATGTGAAAATTATATGAAATTCTAATTTCAATGTCCATAAATAAAGTTTTACTGGAACACAGGCACACCCATTCATTATGTACTGCTTATGACTGCTTTCCCGCTCCACTAGTGGTGTTGAGGAATTAAAACAAAGACCCTATGGCCAGAAGACTGAAATATTTACTATCTAGCCTCTTACAGGAAAAGCTTGCTGGCCCCTGTACTGTATTATTAAATACTATTTGTGCCATTAAGTACTATTAATTATTATACTATAGTATTAAGAGATTCCTGGACAACTTAGAATAATGACATTCTTTTCCA